GGATCCGCCTCTGTCAAGAAGGCTAATCTGCGCGTGCCGTGTAGCCGATTTTCTTGAAATCAGTCCTGCAATCAGTGTTCCCAGATGGTCCCACCACAAAGCCGCCAGACAGCTGGGAGGTATAGCCAAAATATAGCCAAAGCCGTAAAAAAAAAATACTATAGCCACAATAGCCTAGAGTAAGAAGAATGATTTTAATACTTTTATTGACGAATTTTCATAAACATACAAAACATGTTACATTCTCTTGTTGAACCCTCCGATGCGCCATTCTTTGAATACATTATGTTACTTGCTAATTAAAAAAAAAAGGTTCGGAAGGATGAAAGTTCGTTCAACAATGACCCATCCTTCTATGATCTTCAGAAGCACTCCTTTTGAAACGTTTGTCGACGAAACATTTGTCGAACATAGCCCCCCTGGGCACCGTGCATGCCGCATTGTTCATGCAGGCCGGAGTGGTAGCAAAAGAGCCCTTCCTCCCCCTCACCGGGGAACACGAACTCCAGCCGAACGCTGACCCCGCGTTCGGTTATGTCAGTCGAGCGCTGAGTCATTGTTATTCGTTGTCTCCATTCGTGTAGGTCTAAAGCTAACCGCTTGTGGCGCCACGGTCTGATCTCCTCCCAAATAGCTAAAGCGACCTCTTTCTTGTTGTCCCAGGAACGTTTTGTAAAATTTATCAGTGATATTGCCACACGCCTTGCCGAGCGAGCGCATGACCGAAGGGTTACCGCGCTTGCCTCTAGCGCGGAGGCTTTCGGTTCGATACCAAAGAGCCGACTTCTCTTTTATTTATTCTTTCAACGTGACATTCTCGTAAGTTTGAAAACCCTGTCGTCTGATCGATTTACGAATGTTCTACGCGCCAGACGTTGCACGCCGAATGTTCCAGAAACCCACGAGGGTACAAAAGGTGCCCCGAGTGGCGGTCCGGAGTCAGTCTCGAAGCAGCGCTCGATCCTGTTGTTTTGCCGACACGAGCGCCTGCGACGCTGTCTGCTCCTTACAGGTGGACTGCATAAAATAGACGTACAATACTTTTTTTTCCAGTTTTGTCTTGTTGCGTGCTAATAAACCATTCTGGTAAACCAGATTTGCACAGGTGTATAAATGTCGTTGTCATCGACGTCGACACAAATTACGCAATGCGGAAGTATCTTCGCAAGTAATTGAATTACATTTCTAAGTATCTGTACTCTACTCAAGATACTTTACAGTGAAACTAACTTGAGTAGTATTTTAAATACTGTATGAAGCAGGTATTTAGTAACTAAACTTAAATACTTTTATTAAGTATTTTATCCAACACTGGTCCTCGGTTAGTAACAGTCGGGTGCACGAGAGCTGCTGGACAATGATTCATTTTTCAGTGCCCGAGGCAGCGGTACAAAAAGTAAAACATTTAGTCAAAGGAAAAGACACGGAAAGAGGGACGTCCAAAACTCGGCTACTTTCTTTGCTTACACGAATCCTCATACACCCCGAAATATAAGGGCGACTGCAGCCATTGCGAAACTTCCACAAAGATACCTACAGGTACAACAAAATAACAGGGTAGCAGACATCAAATCCAACCTTTTATCACGAATATTATTCAAATAAAAGATGCACAAAAATTTGCCTTCATTCCTTTTCCGTTTGTTTCCACCTTCAAAATGAACAACAATCCAACGTTCACGAAGAATGGGTTGTAGTTTTCAAGACTGACCTTTCAAAAGCCCTACCCACTTCTTCACTTGCTTGTTTTGAAGACAGCAACATCGAGAAGCAACTGTTGTTAAACATTTGACTAAAAACCCCGAAACTGAGGCAAGAAGGACAGATATGGTTAGATTAAAACGTGTGAGGGAGGGACTTTATTAGATTGAACCGTGTAAGCTTGATGTAAAACGCTCGTGCAATGTGTGTAACAGCACATTTGGCTCGTCTGGATTATCCTACGACAAACACGAATATGATTAAAAGCTGAGATTTTTAAAGGTGAATGTACCAACAAAAGCCAAATCCATAAGCACGGATCACAACACAATGTAGAGAATTATCGCCCCGTATCACTGAGCTGCATATGTTGCGAGATTTTAGAGGATATTGTTTATAATAATGTTGTGAGGCATTTCAATACAAATAGATATTTCTCTTCTACTCAACATGGTTTTAGAAAGGGCCTCTCATGCGCCACACAGCTCGTAGAACTTTATGATGACTTGGTTTCAACTCCTGAGGAGGGAGGAGAAACGCACGCCATCTTTCTTGATTTACGGAAGGCTTTCGATAAAGTGTCTCACCCTTTGCTGCTACACAAACTGAGCTCCCTTAGCCTTGATGAAAACATATACCGTTGGATTGAAAATTACCTTTCTGTGAGAAAGCAGTGTGTCGTCATAAACGGTGCCAGCTCAGATTTTATTGATGTGACTTCTGGCGTGCCACAGGGTTCAGTGCTGGGACCCCTTTTATTTCTTGTATTTATTAATGATATATCAACGACCATTGACTCGCCCATAAGGCTGTTTCTGGACGATTGTGTTTTGTACAGTAGGGTAGACAGTGTTGGTGATTCAGCTTTTTTGAAGTCGGACCTAAAAAAAATATCGGATTGGTGCAGGATTTGGGAGTTGGGCTTAAAGGTGGAAAAGTGTGTGCAAGTCACTTTTGGGAAGAAACGTAACCCTGTCCCATCATGCTATTTTATTGATGATCATAGATTAAGTAATAACACTGATGTTAAATATTTGGAGATTACCTTGTCAAGCACCCTTTCTTTTAATGTTCATGCCACTGAAACTGCTAAGAAAGCCAGACGCACTTTAAATTTTCTTATTCGAAATTTACGCGGTGCTCCACAGAAACTAAAAGAGACTGCCTATTGCTGTTTGGTGAGACCTACACTGGAATACGCATGTGTTTTGTGGGATCCGGATCAAAAGTACCTGGCAGATAAGTTAGAAAAACTTCAAAACCGTGCGGCGAGATTCGTAACAGGAAATTATAGTGGGAACAATAGCGTAACAGAGATTAAAATGTACTTGGATGGGAAACTTTATTGTCAAGGCGCAAAGATTTTCGATTGAGGTTCTTGCTTGCAATTTTTAATGATATGACTGGTATTGATAAAAGCAACTACATAAAATTACCTAACTACATTTCAAATTGTGTGGATCATAGCAGAAAAATAAGGGAAATTTCTTGTAGAATAGATTATAAGAAGTTTTCATTTTTTTCCACGCACAATCGCTCAGTGGAACCTGTTACCAAAGTGTTTATTCGTGACGACGTGGGACCATTTATCTCAGGAAATGGTCTTGATTTTTAATGTTGTTTATGTTCAATGTTTATGTATTTTCTTTATTGACAGCTCAGGTTGTATATTCAAGTGTTCTGTTTTTATTTTATTGAGCGTATTAATCCATGGGCTGTACCTGCTATAATGCCGAAATTTTCCGGCGCTGCAGGATTTTTTTTTTGTAAATAAGTAACTAGAAAAGAAACCCTCCTTTCGCTTGTCCTCTCCTGGCGCCCTTCCATCACTGCATTAAAATTTGTATATTGCCATTTGATATATTAGATAAAAAAGAAGAAAAAATTCCCCAATCTAACTAAATATGGTATTCAGCAAGATACAACTGTAACGTATATGTAACGAAACGTTCCAATTTTTAACTGCAACGGGAACGAGTTCCTTTTTCACATATGGAACTCGTAACGGGAACGGGTTCCAAAAATAAGAAGGAACGAGGAACGAGCTTTGCTCCCTTTTCTTGAGGAACGTGTACAACATTGCCTCGTCTATACTCACAAAGCCAGGTACTTCGATGACGGAGCCATAGAGTGCACGGTCGCAGATTTTGAGCGCGAGGATCTGGTAGCACAGAGCATTTCTCGGGGAGTCTGGTATTCAGCGTACAGCTTTTGCAGCTGCGAAGACCCGAAACATGATTTTCAAACCAGACAAGAAACGAAGTGGTTGCGCGAGGAACGCCAGAAGCATGAGCGGTCATTCCATCGCTTGGGTCAAGTGTGTTTTGTTTTCTCGCCGCAGCGGGGCGCTCGTTACATGACGCTTGTCAGCCGTTATGCCTTTTCACCTCCGGCGGCCGCGTCACGTGACGATCTGCCAGTCTTCGTTAGTATAAAGGAGGCCATGTTTGTGGATGAATTTAGTGTTCAGGTTTGTGCCGCAAAGCCCAGAACCCCCCAGTTCTGCAGAGCGAAGATTCCCAGGTAGCATGCCAAAGAAGTGCTTAAAGGCCTTGTTGTTCTCCAACGTCGATCGTAGAAAATGCGGCATAGCCCAGAACACACACAGATGATTACTTGTCGCAGATATCGAGTTCCTGTTCGTCGATCAATAAAAGGCGCGCGTTCTGCGTCTCGCTTCGTTCGGTGCTCTCAACGTCAATGTATAACAGAGCCTTAACTTGGCACAATCCTGGTAATCCTAGGGGGCCTAACTTAACTTAATGTGGTTATGCTCCAAGACGTTACTTAGTGCCAAAATGGCGTTTTTTTTGGTTCGCCACAAAATATTGCCAAACTGCCAAACTTGAGCCAAAAATGTCATGTATCAACCCAAGTTCCAGCAGTGAAGCATGTTTGCCAATTTAGGCAGAAAGTTGCCACACAAAAAACCGAACCACTAAAGTGAAGCCTCACTCATGCACTTGTTTGCCAATTTAGGTCCGACGTTGTCAAGCGAAAACCGAACAACTAGGAGTACAGACTAACTTTGGCACTTGTTCTAAAAATTAGGGCTAAGGTAACCGGACTCTGGAAAAGAAAAAAAGAAAGGTAGCGTTTGGCTCTACCTACACTTCATAAAGATTTTTAGGCCCTAAATTTCCAGACAATAACCAAATTTAACCTGAAAGAACAGTGCTACCTAAGTTCGCTTCACGTGCTGCGAGCTGCATTACTTTGACACACTCAATGGTCGATCCCCGCCCGGACTTCGCGTCGCTTTGAATGAAGATCAAACTGAAATCCGTAGAAATGCTCACCTTGACGACATTTGTGCCGTCTGACGCAGAAACGAAGAAGAAGGGCATCCCGTGCTTCTTGCCAAAGTTGAAGCTCTTTTGGACCACCGAGGAGTCCGCTGAAAAGACAGGGCGACGCCGAAACTTTGGTTAAACAGTAAAAATGAGCTTTTATTACAGCATAAATTTAAAAAAATTTGGGGAACACCCTATTTTTGGATATTTACTCGTCCGTCCGTCTGAACATTTCCCTGCAAAATTTAGAGAACGAAATTGACGTCACGCGACATTATAGTATCACGTGACACCACGACTGTACACGCCGTTTCACAAGTCTCATGGCTGCCGAAGCTCCGATCCAATCAATCAATCAATCAATCGATCAATCAATCAATTGGTGCCAAGGGTGCATCGCCATGGCTCTTGCTCTTTTTGTGCGGGCTCTACCCCGGTTAAACCAATCACGTACAGAAAACAGGCGCAGGATCACGCCACATTCATATCCAATAAACTGTGCTAGCAGATTTTTTTTTCGGACATGCTTTTATTTAGAGGGTGCGACGCAAAAAGAAAAAAAATGCTTTTGATAGGTACGAAACAAAATCTTCAATCTTAATAACGTGAAAAAAAAACACAATGTGAAAAAGATATTTCACAGCGAGTTTAAGTAGGTCTTTTCTTATCACGATATTCGTGACGTCGTTGTAGAAGAAGCAAACGGTATGCATATCTCCGAACGGTGCCAGGAGCCTAAGCCAGTATTTGTGCGAGCAAACCAAAAATATGCATGCAGTCTCGGTGCTTTTAATAGTGTTCAATTCACGACTGCGAGCTATATTAAGTCTAACTTCAATATATATATTTCCATGAGCACTGGACATAACGCGTGGCACTAAAATGTGTCTGTTCTTTTAATTCGTGCAAATACAAAAAAAACAGGCTTTGTGCGTAATGCGCGTATACAGTCTTTAGTGGATGCATCGGGCTCGGCAGTTAATATATAAAACGCAAACGCTATTCGTTTTTTTTGTTTTTTTTGTTATGCACTGATATTTAAAGTCAATCGACGAAAACGTTAGAAGCATCAATGCACGTTTTTTTTTGCAGTTTGTATAAGTTAAAAAACATAATTAAAGGTATGACAATATCTTTTGTTCATATTCTTACTGATCATGACAATTATTGATCGGTATTATGTCCGCCGATCCCGGCAAACACGCATTGAAGACGGTATGTCTGTTGTGCGCGACGCTTAGCACGAGGAAGTGATACTCAGCTTCCTCTGTTGTTGCTCTCATGAATATTTGAAAGTTTCACCAAACTACTAGCGTAGTGTAAAGTATTTTTTCGCTGCTAACAGCGCTAAAAGACGTAGGACAAGGACGAGGAAATGTACAGAGAGGGTGCTGTTTCGGTGTTTTCTCGCCCAGGGCCTACGTCGTTTAGCGTTGCTCCTACCAAACAGGTATGCGCTACCAATTAGCCTAACTGCATGCCTTGTTCTAAAGTGTTTGTTTGAAAAACCAGCCTATAAGCAGTCTATTTTAAGTGAGAACACCCTCTGAAACGGGTGTTCACACCTAAAATGAGACTGCAGCCGAAGCTACAAGCGCGAGCTAGCACGCGCTCCTGGCATTGACACGTGCATTTCTACCGCGATAATTCGTTGTGCGGAAGAACGTTTCCAAGCATTGACCTCAAGCTCTCGTGGTTGTGGCATGGCTGCAGTCTCACCTTAGTGGTGAACCGAGTATACTGGACACTTTCCGAAATTCAGTCTGGATACTTCAATAACATCTCCTCATTTAAGTGTACATCAGGGCATTCTAATATTTTTAATTACAGTTACCCTCCGCAACATGGTGCAAAACATTGATCTGTTATTTTGTAGATTTATATGTCCGCAGGTTCTGAGCAAGGCACCGCCAGCAATCATACCTGTAAAGAAATTATTAAATGCGTCGGCTAGTTCTCTTCCAGATAATTATTCTTCATTGACTTGCAGTTTTTGAAAGAGGGGCACGTGAGGGACCGCGATGGGGCAGGACTGCATTTAATTTGGACCGCAGCAAATCACGCCTACCGTTCTTATCGTTTATAAATGAGGAGTGATATTCCGTTCGCACAGATCGTGGTTTTTTTGTTATTTTGATTATATACTGCTTGAAAATGGTCAAATGATGGGATATACGAGTACTCAAAAATGTCTTATACAACTTGTGTCATATTTTCCTTTCAAGATCTGGCGTGATCCACAGGTTAGGAATTTGTCTAGTTTGCGTACGCACTTTTTCAATGAAGTGAGTGCAATATAAATGTTTAAAACTGTTCAAAAACATATTATAAGCCTCATTTGGTTCCACTTAATTACCAACATAGCTCGAATTTGTATGCAGCGTTGTATCCCAGAAAGCATTAAGTGTTGTCTTTGTAATTGACTGTTAAAGTTTTTTTGTGAAATCTGTTTTCTGCTAGCCCACCGTTTTCCCCGCAAAAGAAGACAGGAAGATGGTCATTAATGCAACACGATATCGCTCCTACCTCAGAATTTGATTTGACATAGTTTGTAATAAGAAATCAAAAATAGATTGACACACCGCTGTGACTCTTGTTGGTACCCTAACCACATTGACAAATCCATTTGATGGTATAGGTGTGTCAAAATCTCTGGCTGACGAGCTAGTGTTACCCATGTCTATGTTAAAATCTCCTCCTGCAATTAGAAGTATTTTATTTTCGACCAGAAATGCAAAAAAATTGACTGTAAAATTAAAAAAAAAATGATAACATTTCCGTTTGGTGGTCGATACCAAACAGAAAACACTCTCTGGCCCGAACGCAGGGAAGTATTTTATAATAAGGAGTAATATCACTGTAACGATCAAGAAACATGCACTCAGTATATGTGTAAGTTAGCAATGATATCCAGCCACCTCGGGTACTGGTTCTCTTTAAATATTAGGTTCTATAGTTTGACAGTCTAAACATATCAGTCACTTATGCTTCAAGTCTTGGCTAGAATGATGACGGAAAAAAATATACAAACATTCTTTAAAAAAACTCTCCTGAACACAAAATTTAATTCGTTACCGAAGTAGTGTTTAAATTAAGACATTTTAGTGAAACGGGTGCAGAGCGAGGTACAAGCCGTTTTACATCACACGGCAAATAATAACGGTGTTGGTTCATTTATAAGTTCCCCTAAAAAGTCCGCACAACTGTTTCATTTAATTTAGTCAAGGTCAAAGTTTCTTCTGATGCGAATAGGACGCACTCCTTCATCTTTCCCTCTAGAACTTTTCCGATTGAGTACCATGTAAGGGCATAGCTCTTTCCTTATAGCGCTATTTTTCGGCGCCCAAAGAAGCTCTCTATTTTAGCCGGTCAAGTTTTCCTGCATAAAAATCTCCTGGGCACTGTTCTTAAGTTCGCCTTGGCCCTTCAACCACGTGTCCTTGGTATGTCGCTTCACGGAGTGAATGATTATTCCAGGAACGAGTCCTTCTTTCGCTGGCAGCCTGTGAGCAGACACAACGTCGGACTCCGCTAATAAGACTGGTGACTAGGCGAGTCGGTTGTTCATGCTGATTAACGTTACAGCGCACCATAAGATAAACACTCACAAACACAGACATACTAGGTAAATATACACTCACTCGGCGCAGGGTGAGTGTATATTTATTTAGTGTGTCCGCGTTTGTGGCGGTTTCTCTTGTGGTGCGCTGTTACGTTAATCAATATGCACACCGCTAGATGAGGGAGCTCAAGTTTGTCGGCCACCTAATTTAGTATGAAAATTAGGTTCTCACCCTGCGTCATAGTGATCCCGTCGATTTCCAAATTGAGCCCTTTGCTTCGAAACTAAAGCCGATGCACCTCCTGCTGGAGCCAATCCTGTGCCGCTCTGCTGGTTTCATCCTTTTGCTCCAGGTCTTTCACCTTCTTTTTTAGCTTCTTATTTTGAGTTGCTTGGTGTTTTATTTGTATTTCAAATTCATCGAACCTATCTGACATGAGCTGTACGAATCGTTCCATGCGGTCTACTTCTTCGTTTAAGCTGGGCAGACTGTCCAGCTTCTTATTGACTGAAAACAAGAAGAAGTCATATCTGTTTCATAATTGTGATCCTCGCTGCCGCTAGCACGGAATGAACCGCTCCTGCATTGTGGTCACCGCCACGACCCCTTTACGTCTTCATTTTTTTTCAGAGAAAGAGTTCTTAGTAGCTCCGGCACATTTTCCAAAAATGGTAGGTGTGTATACACTCAGTACACTTTATCAATCACTTCCTCCTCGAGAAGAGACGACTGGCATGTGAAGCAAATGTTTGACATTCTATTACAGAGGAAGGGTACAAAACTCTAACGAAATAGTAATGGCAATGACAGATGCAGCAGCAAAGTGAGTTATCTGAAGGTCGTAAAACGTGTGGCCTACCAACCTGTAACAGCCGTTTTTGTCAGATTAGACGCGTTCACTGGATGCCGCTGCCGCTGCTAAATGACTGCCCGCGAGAAGCTTGCTGATTATCTGCTCCAGGTGCACTTCTGCGCCTGCACTGTCCGCGCCCGCCGCTTTGGCGAGGCGATGTGATGTGGCGGCAGTGTAGATTCCTGAAGTCTTTGAAGTGAGGTCAGAAAGCGATGATGAAAGGCAGCGACCACGGTGCAGAGGAGCTAAGGACGCAGACTCTCTCTGTAGATGACCACAATTCCAGGGCTTCCAATGCATCAGAAATACCAAGTGGCACTTGAATGCCTTGGTAAGGGACTTGTGGTCAGTGAAGATCACGAAGGCTTCTCTTTCCAAGAGGAAAAGGGAGTGCTTAATGTTGAGGTAAGCGGCGAGATGCTCCCGGCCGAAAATACAGCCGCGTTGTTCCATCGGTGTCAGCTTCTTGGTGAAGAAACCGAGCGGATGCCACAGGCCGTTGACGCTTTGCTGGAGCACACCTCCAACAGCGGCGACGAAGGCCCACACTTCATCGAACCAGCCCAGATAGGGTGAGTGAGACCTGGCTGCTTGAAGACGGCTTCAAGAGGATGTAGGATGGCCGCGCAACCCGGAATAAACTCTCTTTATAGCAGTTAACAAGGCCCAGAAAACGGCGGATTTGGCG